CCACAGGCGGTAATCTTTTACTGGTTACCGCTAGTTAACTTGCATAAATTCCAAGCGATTTTAGAGGTACCACAGGCGGTAAATTTTACTGGTTACTACCTGAAAAGGAGAGCTCTGTAGCGCAATGTCGTCTTACTCCCTACTGCTAAATCTATTTATTATTTTTTTTTAACTTTAAACGTACAGGATAGTGGGTCTAGGTTGCATTACCAAGTTGTTGAAAGCGGTCTGTGGAACAGTGTATGGTGTGCGGTTGGTCTTGTTCTGAACTCTGGACCAGAAGAATCAATACTTTTGAGGTAAAGGACTTGTCATTATTTATCGCCTGGGAGGGGTGGGAGGGCGCGGAGGATTTTGGGGGATCACATGGTTTTAAGGCGGAACAGAGAAAGGATCAGCCTTCACTGATAGATTTTAAAGGGGGGGGGGAGATAGATAAAATGGGGGATGTTACAGAGCCTTGTTAGGGGGATTGAGATGAGTTTTATTGTGACACAACCAAAATCTCCCGACCCCCCCCCTCCAGGTAATAAATAGCGACCAGCCCCTAAAACCAATAGATTTAAAGAGTTTGAATAGAATAAATTTGAATTTGAATTTAGAATTTTATAATTTTTTTTAAAATGATTTAGGTCAATTAGCATTAGAGAGATATCAAGGTATTATGTTCTCATATGTCATGGAAGTTGATAACAGACGATTCATTGGTTAATTTTCAATTCTTTCTCAGAGATTTGGAAGCTATGCCGGAAGAAGTGGACATCAGAGTGGGTGTTGTGCAGTGGGGAGTAACGTCACCTAATGGCATTGAACATCTCTTACGTGTTTCACATCACCTGTTTACCAAAGTGAGTCTGAGTATCAAGGAAGTATGATGACCTCAACTGTTTTATTGATATTTTGGTTTCTGCGTCAAGAAGAGTTGACATACGCTTCAGTTGGTCAAGACTGAGGTAGATTTATTTTTCTTTATTTAGGTCCCACTCCAAAGTATATTGAAGTTTATTGAACCTCCTTCATATGCAGTATCTTGTTTGACAAGAATGCTTACAACACCGTTTGTGGAGCAGCTTTCGAAACAGTGAGTGTTTCAGCCTTTTCAGGGAATACTCCATTTATGAGAGATGCTATCTGTCTAGTGGGAGGCGCGGTGTTAGTGCCTTGGACTCCCGGTCGAGAGGTCTGGGTTCGATATTTGGCCGGGTTACTGCGTTGTGTTCCTGGGCAAAACACTTCACGCTCACAGTGCCCCTCTTCCCACAGGAGTATTATTGGGTACTGGGAAATTGTCAGAGAAGCCTGATGAAATGCAGGGGGGGAACCTTGCGATGGACTGGCGTCCCATCCAGTGGGGAGTAGAGAGAGAGAGAGAGAAAGCGGATATTAACAAAATGTTGGGGTAACGCTAAGGAGTCTTTTGTTTTTTGCGTCAAACTCTACCCTTCAAGTTGAAGATCAGTCGCTGTATGATGAAGTTAATTATTATCGCATTATGTTTCAATGCATCGACCTTGTTTTTACCATTCAGTTTAGCTAGTTTTTCGTATGAAAAGAAAGGAGAAGAAGGAGAGGTCCTTCAGGCTTTTATGAGAAAGGTAATATTACATTCCTGAGCGTTGAGTTTCTACTGATCTTACAAATGAGGATATAACAACATTTCGAATTGGATCTCATCTCGAAGATGTGATTGCACCCATGGTTTACTTAGGATTATAGCCATCGTTACTTTTTTGCCAACCAGTTAGCCACGCAGTTATTACAGTTATTACAGTGGCAGTCATTACAGCAAAAGTCTTGCCAGTGTAGTTGTATTAACTTCCCCTTGGGGTAGGGCTCTCCCCAGAGTTGAATGTTCGGGAGATTCCCCATCAAAGGAGTATCGTTTTCAGAATGGAGATTTATGACAGGGAGGGAGTACGCAAGTAGGGGTATAAAAAAAGGGTAAGGAAAACTGTCATCGATGTGTTAGGAAAGGCTGTGGTTGTAGATTTATCTTTTGGTTTTCCAAGGCTCTATGGCAATCAAAACATCAGTAGTTATGGGTGTAAATCTTGCGATTTGATTGGCTAAGAGAGGAAACGAAAGACGCTACAATGTTTTGATGCTTTGTTGTAGCTACAGCACAGGGGAATCATTTTACCATGGGAAGCCTGTTTGGGCCTAAGTCGTACAAAAAGGGGTAACGATTTGGCACGGAGCATCCCCATATCAAAGATTCTAAAGAACCCATTCTTCTCGTGAGAGTAGCACGCACAGTTAACTTCAAATTTTGGCCTTATTCGTTGAGACAAAAAAACGTCCTTTGTAAACGTGATCAGCAGGTGTAACTGATCCTCAACCGGGCGTCTAAGCGCTTTTATGTAACAACAGATGTGCTCCGTGATTCTAAGTAATGACTACCCGATGTAATTCTTTGCAGATCATCAAGATATTCTACTTCCCGTTTGCAGTTGACATAGAGGAACACCTCCTTCACGATGCACTAAGGTGAGCCTGGCCGTTGTAAACATATTTTCTCGTGAGTGTGGTATCTTTGGCTTTGTACTAAAATTCTTTCTCTATGTATTCTTTCGCGCTAGTGTTTTTTACGAATACCGACTAATTCCTAACCTGCTGGAGTTTTCATCAAAGTTTTTGCCTGTAGAAGACTTGGAACTTGCTCTGGGTAAGTAAGATATGCGATCTTGTCGTGGCAAAAATTTTGGTGTCAGAAAAGTAGTGAAAAAAACCTAACAGGTCTGATGGGGGCAGAGGGGGGTGGGGAGGGGGAGCCAACGCCCAAGGCCCTGTCCAGTTTTTGGAGAAAATGAAGTTACTGTAAGGAAAAGTGACATGTTAATCACAGCAAGCACTGAAAGGATTTTAAATATTTCACTGATATTGGCTAGTCACTGGGAAAAAACCTAACAACATAGCTAGAGGTCTAATATGTTACGTCCTGAGATATACAGAGCAAAACTTTCCGAAAGAAACAGTGATTTTATTCGTAGCTTATTCCTGTTGATTCGTTTCTTTATTCCGTGTGTATTTTCAGGTCTGATCGCCAGGTTGGTTCTTAGTGATGAGATCTTTGTAACACAACTGGCAAGAGATGTCACAAACCAAAAGGTAAAGAAAGGGGAAAAAACTGATGAAACCTAGAACTTCCACTCTCTCTGAACTCGACATGTTAAAAAAAAAATCAGCTCTGTCACGAAGCCTAGGGAAACAAACGAACGAACCTGCTCTATGAGTAAAGAAAGGAATGTGAGATTTTTCTCATTTTAAGCGGATTGTTGAAGTAATCAATATTCTAGCTGACTTATTTTCTGACCTGATGCTGTTCACATATATTACCGTTTATTTAAAATGTTTGGTTAAATTGAGGATAATTTCGGTTGCCGTTTTGCCCAACAACGGCTTAACCATGTCTTAACCCTTCAACCCCCTATGCATGAGTGACTAGTATCTAATTTCTCCCAACGGTATATCTACTGAATCAAACATTAAGGTCATGAGAATAAGGGAAACGATCACCAATTAAAGAAGCTCTAGATTAATTGATAAATTCTCCTTATAAGCGCTATAGGAAATGTATAGAGAACAGTATGGGGAACCTTCCTTCTAATCTGGGTTTTTTAACCACCTTTTCTGACCTAATGAACAAGTTTGAGTGGATAACTTTTTTATTTTACTTGAGGTTGAACCTTTCCTAGCTTCACTGATGTCAGCGGAAAACTCTGTCACTCTCTTGAATGACGTCATTGCGATTCTGAGTCATGTATCTCGAAGTTCTTCGGAGTATGTTTCCATGGTTACACGGGTCTTGCAAGGTGATCGAGGTAAGGTGGAATGTGACGGAATTATTGAAATTATAGGATATTTTCTATTTTGAGCAAACTCAATTGAAGCCGAGTTTCCCTTTCAGAGTCATATGAGCCGCTGTTCAATTTGCTCACACACACGAGTTCTGCTGTCAGTGCGAACGCTTGTGGCATGTTGGGTAATATACTAAAACACTCTGCAGTTTTTTATCCTGTTCTTCAAAGGTAAGAGTCGATGACCCAGATTGGGAAAGGTAATTTGGGAATTGAAGTCTTCTGCAATTATCATTAGAGCTTTCCTTTTACTCTGTGAAATTTTTAACAATTTTGTTGAACAACGGATGAGGTCGACTGCACCATTTAGGAGCTCATTTTGAATGTTATTACGATATAACAAGGGGCCAGTGACGACTTAAGTAACTAACGTAAACAAGTTGACTTAAATCGCGGGAAAACGCGGATGACCATGTCGCGATTGGTTTCACTTCTGCATGTGATTGATCGAAAGAATGGTGCAATTTCATACGACTTATCATCGTGAAGGAAAAACGTAGCAATTCAGGACTTCTCTCGACACAGTTTATTATCTCAGCCTTTTTAAGGGAGGCTCCGAAACAAACATTTTGAATTTCCATTTCGAGAACTACTCCCTCTTTACTGAGTTATTTCACATTACTTTCTTCCTTTGCAGAACGAATTTGTTGTCAACTTTAATCAGCTGTCTGAAGAGTGATGACGCCAATATTCGAAAGGTGATCTGCTCCAGCTTTCCTTGATCTCTATTGTCGGATGGGGTCAGAGTTTGGAGAACTGGGCGGCACATATCTACCCAGACTTTTAATAATTACCTTTACCCTCGGGCTTCACCCAAACGGGTTGTCTGTCTTTGAACCGTTTATATAAGAATGTGACAGAATTCTTTCTCAGTTTCTGTGAATTGGACCTGTTTCTCAATTTTTCTTTGGGGTTTTTTTTTTTTTTTTAAGGATTAGAGGACACATTTGGAAAATCAGAAGGAAATTTGTTGTCATCTTTCGTGGTCCCTAATTAATACATTATTGTTTTTAAGAGCGCTCGATTGTTTTGGTGGCATATCAAGAAATTGGTGTAAACAGTTTTTGATTAGAACCGAATCTGCTCCCTAATGGAGCTTAATCTGAAAATTTGCACTGAATTTTTCCAACAACAACAACAACAAATTAAAGCATTACTGTAAATCGGCCACCGTAAAGAATTACTTAAGCTGACGTTTTGAGTGTTACCCCTTCGTCAGAGCAAATCTACACCTTTAGAAACTCCTTATGGTGGCCAGTTTACATAATCTACTCAGTTGATAACACCAAATCATCTTGCTATACCCTCCACCAACGCAGCACCACAATTTCTAAAGAAATTCCACCCCCCCAAAGTATCACTCTTGCTCGTTTAATACTCCTTATCCTTGACTTCCCAGGCCGCCAGTTTTGCTGTAGGAAACGCAGCATGTCATAGTGACTTACTTTACACCGCTCTGAGCCCAGCTGTGCCTTTTTTGGTTGGCTTACTTACGGACTTGGTCGCAAGAACTCGAGCCAATGTAGCAGGTCAGAATCTTGCAAAGCTGTTGATCGGTTCGTCAGCAGTGTCATATGATACATGACATCAGTTATAAAACTAGAACAATCTCCAATTGTTTGGCCACACTCTTTCCATTTGTTCCACACCGCAACTATTTTTTTTTAATTGACCAGGCCATGCGACAAGGCAGAAGCTTATGACCTAGTTCAGGGTTATAAGCTTCTGGACAAGGTTTCATGCAAAGTGTAGTATTGAACTTTGTGGCGATGGGCCATTTGCTGAATTTCATTACTGAAGAGTCGATATAACCGCTGGTAGGTATCTGTTATGATGCTCTCGCCGTCATAAGGAAATGACGGATGGGACTCCGCCCTCCTCCCCAGCATCTTGTTTCCATGAAGAGTCCTTGTTGATCTTCGTATATCCTGACTCAGAGAATTGTTTTTATTGATCTCGTTGAGTGATTTGTTTGTATTCCACGTAGGAGCTCTAGGTAATTTGGTGAGACATTCGCCATCGCTCTATCAACAGTTAATCAAGACACAAGCACCACATGGGTAAGGGAATTGTTACTTTTAAAACTTCTGCAGTTCTCCCCTACTATTAGGTTTGAATTCTTGTTTTTTTAAGTAAATAACTTGAACAATGCCGATCACCTCGAAGATATCTCACTTACTGAGATCTCGTTTCAGTGTTCTCGACATGGCTTGCAATGACGGACACGCCGAGCCTCAGGATGCAGCCTTGAAGACTCTAAGACTTTTCTGTAGAAATCCTCGGTGCAGACAGGTTTGTTAGTTTGTTTAGTCATAAACGTGTGCTCTCAATCTTATTTATCAATATTTGTTTTTGACCTGCCCTTTACTGGATCTCCTTAGCTTGAGAGTTTTTTTGTTTTTTTTGTTTTTGTTTTTCGAGGAATCGTCATCGCGTTACCTCGGAGAGGCACCCCGGACTACCAATCGGTGTCCATGTCGTAGCCGAGTTGTAATTTTGTATTCCTGGGAAAGACTCTTTATCCTCATCAAACATCTCTCGAACCGTCAGCAAAACAGGACGAAATCTAACGGGGGGGGCGGTTGGTTTGGGATACGTAAGCTGAGATACAACTAGCATCCCGCCAACCTCGTTCCCGGGGTCTCTCTTCTTCTTGTAGCCCCTACCCACCCCTTTCTCTCGCTTTTCCAGCTTGATTGATTTAGTGATTTATCGATTGACCAGCTGTGACACTGAAACTGCTATTTTGCACAGGTCCTTGTATCTCTTGGTATTCAACAACGACTTCTCAGGTTTCTGGAAAGATCCCGAATGTCTGGGGCCTGCAGTCAGCAATCTAGCGTTTCTTCAGTTCCCAGTACCGCGCGGACTAATGATAGTGTAGTGTCTGAACACTGTGTTCGCATACTGAACAAGCTAAAAACACGAGGAAGCGACGCGTAAGAAAACTTAAAAGAGTGTAGAACCATCACTACCATGATGAAGGCTGCGGAGACCTGAATTGTTGAAGTAAAAATGTAGAGCAGCGTTTGACAAAAAGGATTGAACACACTCTTACTTTCAAGAGTGACATAGGCAACTTACAACTTGCTCTGGTCATTGGGGTGTTTTGCGAATGAGTGTCGTAAAATCGAGGCTAGGATCATAACAACAGCAGAACGATATGACAAGGGGCCAGTAATGGATATTCCGAACTAGAATGAGCGAAACTGCGTAAAGCGCCGATAAGCGTGAGTGTCGAAAATGCGACATGTCTTGGTTTTTACATATGGACTGGTCGATGGGAACATACAAATTCTCTAAACCAATCACAGAGCATATTCATGCATATCCAACGAAATCCTTGTTTACTGTTTACACTCTACCTAACAAAGACTTTCTTTACGCACAGAAGGGTGAAAATTCTTTCAGTGAAAAACTAGCCATGGGAGGGACGGACTTTTATTGACAAGCAACTACAGTTAACCCTTCGGTTATCACGTGAGAGGCATAAGGTATGACAGGAGAGATGTAAGGGTACTAGTTGACATACGTAAGGTTATCACAAAATCATGCATGTTTGCGTTGAACGCAGAAAGAAATCACTGGGCCTGCTGCTCTTTGGCCATTGCGTTGAGGGGATTATCAGAAGTGCGGATGTGAAAAATCTATCGTTATTTCACAATTTCAACACAATAGAGTAACTCATCAGCTGAACGGAGTTCTCTTGATACAGCATCAAATTCTCTGAAATGTATTTCAAGAAAATTTAAAGCAGTCAGAAAGGATAATTATAAATCAGATCCTGGAAGCCAAGGGTTAGAAGATCGATGAATGGGTAATGCTTGGCTGTTTAGTTCTGGCCAGCGGCTGTATTTCTTCAGATTGGATTACGACCTGGAAGGTTAAAGCTAAAGACGACGTCGCACACAGTTATTCAGATGTTTGTCATTTTTCTTGGCGGCCAACGACGGTAGAGAGTTCATTGAATCTCTGGGAACGCAGATTTGGACAGAGATGCCATTTCTTACAATCGGACTCAAAGGAAAATACTGTATATATTAAAAACTGTATGTTTACTGTTAGCTAAATTAACAGAAGTTATTTATGACTTAATAGTTTTATTTCATTGACAAATGCAAGAGTTGACGCTCACGTCCGTGTAGGAACAATCGTCATTCAAAAATAGATTTTATTTTGTCAGGTCAACTTTTTGAGGACAGGTGTTGAAATGTATGTCACGCGGAAAAATAAAGTGTACAACAACAAAGAACTAGTTGATTGATCTATAATTTAAATTTCATTTTTCAAGCCACCCATTACGCTCAAAATTTTCATATGAAAGAAAATATAATGGTTCCGGGAAAATTTTGGCTCTTTTCTCCGGCAGACAACAATAGCTTTCTCACTCTAAAGGCTCAGCTTCAGATGGCATATTGTCCCTTCCGCAGCTCAGAAACCTAAATCTACTTAACCTTAAGCAAGTTATTTGGAGTTTTGGTTGATGTATTGTGCTGGTAAATCCCTGAATTTTGATTTCTTAAAGGGGATTAGTCGCTTCACTTGTCTGATAGGTAGTATATTTGAAATCATAGGTGATTTAAATGGATGAAATAAACTTTTGAGTTACAATTTCTTCCATTCGAATTTTTCGAATAGCGTATTCAATTCGTCAAAAGAAGAGTAAAAAGAAGGAAAATATGAATACCGAAAGCCAACAAAGTTTCCTAATTGGATTGTGAGTTTAAATCTAATAAAATGACAGCTCCCCTTATCGTGTTAATTCAACCCATCACCAATGTCACGTGACGACATAGCAGCTACACCAAGTTTCGGGTTCGCCTTTGTGTTTCATGTGCGTGTGGGGGTACTCTTGTGTCGGCTTCGATCATCTTTTTTTTTTTAACAAAAGAATGCTCTAATAGCTGTTCCACCTTCCAGCAGAAGACAACATACAAAAAAAATTGTACAATTTTTAAAACATCGAGTGGAACATGACGTTTTCCCACTTGCTTTATTCAACTGATGCCAAATCGGTGCGTGTCCACCTTTTCTCTAGAGGGCGTGGGCGATGTTTGCTTCTGGCAGGCTCTTGGGCAAAGGAAACAAGTGGGCGTGAAACAGGGCGATGGCCGACAGGCAAAGAAAACAAAATTATGAACTTCCTCAGCTGTTTTCCTGACGAACTTAACCGCTAACTATGACTTATAAAAAAATTAATATACGTAGTTATATATTTCGTAAAGATATCTTTCGTAAAGTTTCATCTGACTGAGGTCCTGAGCTGTAATTTTTAAAGCCTCGTGAAACTATCTACCTTCTGCTTTCTAAGAAATAAAAAAAAACAGGATAAAGGAGATCATCCCTATCTTGTTTAATTAAAACCTAACTAAAAATGATATATTTAACTTTCTAATTTTAGTGCTGTTTGTCAACAGTTCTAAATTTAATAATAGTTTAGTATTTGTAGTGCGCAAATTTAGTGAGATGCCTTGTTGATCACGTATTCATTCCACTTATCCATGATACGGGTGTAGGGAGCTTGAAAATTTGCCATGTTGCCGTGCGTGCTTTCAGTAATAGATTGCACATATCGTCAAGATGTGACAACAACAAAATTGGCGCCAACCTCGTTCCCACGGCCTTTTCCTTTAGTTGGGGGATCCAGCTGAGGGAAAAGGCCCTGGGAACGAGGTTGAATTGGAGCACCTGGGAAGCCAGGTGTGTCAATAGGGACTTTAAGCAGTCAGGACGGCAACACCACGGAAGACGTCGATTAAAAAATGAGTTTCTACTTTTAGTTAGAATTTCGAAAATGGCTGCATGTGTTTACCGTCTCATAGGGCGCCAGACCTCAAACTCAACATAACGCATAAAAGTAGC